TCCTCACCCTCAGCTCTGGGCAGAAGGGTGGAGAAAATGGAATAGATCCAGGGATTTTAAGTATCGGTTTCAGATTTCACTGAGGCTTTGCAGGACCCAGGGAAACTACCAGCCTCCCGCTAGCATGGAACCTTCAGCTGTGAGCGTTCCTGCCACCACGCGGCTGCCTGAGTGCACCGCCTCCTACCCTTCACTTTCCCAGACATAGCAAGACCCAGGAAGACTCTAGGGCAGTCATTGATGCAGCAAATATTGGGCTCCTGCTGTATTTCGAGCAGTGATCTCTGCCCTCGTGGGGAGAGACAAACAGTAAATGAGTAGAAATATAAATAGGTATTAGAAGGCAGAAGAAGCTATGGAATCAGGGAAGACCTCACTGAAAAGTGACATTTGAGCGAAGAGCCGAATGATTGTAGGAAGCCAGCCAAGCCATTTTTGGGGTGAGGAGAATTGTCTCTGGCAGACGGGACAGCGCGGACAAGAGTGCATCTAGTATTTGAGGAATGGCAAGGAGGTCAGTTCAGCTAGAGCGAAGGTGTGGGTTTTATGATTCATTGTTGAGAGTAAGACGAGAAGCCACGGGAAGGTTTTGAGCAGGGCAGTGGTAAGATCTGACTTACAACGTTACAGAGTCCCTCTGGGCGGCCTGGACCAGGACAGTAGACTGAAGATCATGGGAGCACATGGTTCTGGGGACATTTTGAGTCCGAGCCTGTAGGACTTGCTGGTGGGTTGGGCGTGAGGTGTGAGAGAAGGAGAAGAGTCAAGGATGACCCTGAGGTTGGACAACTGGAAGGACTGGAGTTGCCAGTCATTTCTCAATTCATGGTGAAGACAGCAGGAGACGCTGGCTGCTGGGGGAGGTGGGACGGGGCAGAAGTCAGGAGCTCAGTTTTGGTCATGTTGTGCCCGTAAGACGTCCAGGTGCAAGTGTTGCTTAGGCAGTTTGATAACAGCCCCGGAGTTCAGGGGAGAGGTGAGGGCTGGAGACATTTGTTAGTGACAAATACATTTTGGCAGCACAAAGACATTATTTAAAGCCACGACATTTAATGAGATTACTTTTAAAAGTTTCTTTAAAAAGAAAGTGTAGATAGAGAAAAAGAGAGGTGGCTGAACCTTCCCAGGAGTTGAAGGAACTAGAAGAGTTAGATGGTGACCATAATTATAATTAACTGAGCACTTACTACTTGTCAAACAACGTGCTGGGTCTTTGAGCATTTTTTCTAATCTTCCACATTGGCCACGTTGGACGGACGGGAAAGCCGAGGTTGGCCCAGAGCCTCATAGTTAGTGGTGGCGCTGTGGTTCGAATTCAGACCAGTCTCATCCTGTGGGCTCAGTGCTTGTCACAGCGCCCCACCATGGTGTCCCTGCGTTTCAACTTAAGGAGGGACTGCTTGATCTCCGAGAGTGGGTGGTAGGAAGCAGCACTTGAAAAACTCAGAAATACAAGTGTTCACGGAGGAGGGATCCCAAGTGACCCTTGCCAACTTCCAAAATAATGTATGCCGGGCATAACATTGTTTAGTACTCTCATCTGTTGAAAACCGTAAGAGCATATATGTATGTGTCGATATCCTTTGAAAAAATATTTAACCCTTCCTCACAGACATACTTCTGACTGCTAGCCTATCATGAAGTTACACAAGTTTCCAAATTGCTTACCCATTCGTGCTAGCAACATCCCAAAGCTGCTCACGGTTCAGCTTCTCTATTTGAACCCTAACCTAACTCCTAACCCTTTAAGTTCATCACCAGGTTTAAACTCTGAGGCATCTTAAATGCATCTCACAGCCCTGTCCCACTGAGAGCATTCATACCCTTCGGAGCATATCAGATTTCCCCCAAACACCTCTTATTTTCCTATATGCCAGCCTTTATTGCCTTTTACAGCACTCCCAGGCTCTCGCCTTCTCTTCTCCCAGTTGTCTCTTTTCATCCGGGCTTCCTCTCTTCCTCTGCTGGGGAACTTATCTTTAGGTCTTAGGGGTCTGTCCTCTCCCTCAGTTGCAGATGCTCTGTCCATACCGCCAGAGGCTGAGCACCATGGATGCCCTATGAGTAGCTTTAGCCAGAGCCGTCTCCTCTGCAGTTCTTCCTTAGGCTGAGAGGCGGCTGCACTGAATAAGAGCGGAAACCCCATTTCCAGTCATATCCATGCTTCCCGCATTCCTGCTGTGTGCTGGGTAATTGCAGACCTAGGAGAAGCCCTGGGGCGCGCCAGGGTCTGAGAGCGGGGAAGACCAGGAAGATGGACTAGCAAAGGACAAGAAGCAGATAGTCGAGTGAGTGGGACTGATCCATTAGAGCAGGTGCACTGAGGAAGCAGAAGAGGGAGGGCTGACTTGCTGGAACACAGTCTCTGAGGGGGTAGGCGGGAGTGGGATCCAGTGAACCAACAGAGAGACTGGCCTGTTAGAGGAGCAGAGACAGTTTCTCCATTTTAACAGGAGGGGAGGCAGAGTGTGTGGGTACAAACGCAGTGGGATGGTAGATTTGATAGGGGAAGGGTGAAGAAACAGCAATAATTTCTAGAGGAAAAAGGCAGAAAGCAAGGCAACAGCAGACTAGGGCCCAAGGCCAACACGGCCGTGTCACTTTGGGCAGGTGTGCCAGAGAGCTGCGAGCCCACGTGTCGTCAGGAAAGAAAGCACGCCACAGACTGATCTGTGGATGCAGGGCCTACAGGATGCTAATGAGAAATAAAAGCAGGAGAATGGCAGGCCAGGTCCACACGCTTCCCTCCCCCTCTGCTTCAGGCCACTCTACGTGACTGGAAAAATAAATTCCAACGAGAAAGAGTATTCTGGGAAGGCCAGAGATGGAGTCATTTTCTGAAAGCTGGAGAGCAGACGGTATTAAAGAGAGGAGACTTCTCTCTGAAGTATGCTCAGGAGAGGCCTGCTCTGCAAGTGGGCGCAGGTCTGAGGGACTGCAGACTCAGAGGCGGGCCAGCAGGAGGGGGTCCTGGAGCAAATTTGGTGTGATGAATGAGGGAAGAGCTAGGCCACTGAGCCCCTGGGTCACGGCGCTGAGCGGGGCCAGCAGCAGCAGTTACCCTCAAGGCGAAGCGTGAGGATGAGCGCCGAGGCACGTCCTCCGAGAGGGATCCTGTAGGGGCGCCTGGCTGGCTTGGTCGGCAGAGCATGCAGCTCTTGGTCTTGGGGTCAGTGAGCTTGAGCCCCACATTGCGGGGTAGGGTTTACTTAAGAAATAAAGTGGCATTAAAAAAAATGATGACTGAAGATGAGTACCTGACGTCCTGGAGGATTGTCAGACACCTTGATGATGTCAGAGTGTCTGAAAAGGAATTCTAAGGGAATGTCAGCTCAGTTCTACATCCCCAAAGCCATAGCAAGTTCCAGGATCTTCCACCGCCTTCTGTACTTGTAAGTTTTGAGATACATTCGTAAACTGTTCTTGCACGAGATATGCAGGGGGCAGAACAAAAGTGTCTCAAATTCTAGGTAGTGGGAATTTCTCAGTAATGATACTTTTTAGAATTAGTCCTGTTCCACAAAAATGTCACGTCTTCTGTGCTTAAGATGAAAACATGACAATACAGACTCAGCCTCAGTAACTTCCCCAAGATTATCCACTGGTGAGTGACAAAGTCCAGACTCACACCCAGGCCTTGCAGAGCTGCGCTCTTAACCCCCAAGCTATCCTGCCCTCTGCCTGGCATCTAACGCATGCCTATAAATTAGACATGGTTCCTGCCTGCAAGGAGCATTCAGTGTAAGAAATGGAGAGAAACAACTATAATAAAGTAACATGGGTGGGATGAGAGAGAGATTTGCTCAGTGCTCTGGAAAATGGCAAGAACTGTAGGAATCGGAGAATGTTACTGGGGCAGTCTTCGTGCCGGAGTGTCGGGCACCTGAGTGGAGGAGGTTTGGTCTGCACAGTTAACGGAGACATTAACAAAAGTAGGGAAGCACATGTTCTTGCTGGTTCTTTTCCTGTCCTCCTCCCTCTTCTTCCTTTACCTTTCCTGCACCTTCTCCCTTTCTGTCTTCTTCCAAATCCTGCTGCCCGGCTTCCCTTCCAGCATTGCGTACAGCAATATTTCCATTTACGGCACACATGGATGGTCACTGCAGCCGGTCGCCCACCCTCTGGTGACAAACAGCAAACATTGGGGCACAGTGCTGCGTAAGGGCCTCAGGAAGAGCCAGTGGGATGTGACGGTTGTGTTCCGTGAAAGGGAGAGCGACAGAGAGGGATGCCATCTGAAGGGTTGAATTTTGCCAGTGATACCAGGATTGAGAAAAGTAGAAAAGTCGTCCTCCTCCCCTTTCCCTCAGGCCCCATGTCTTTGCACACAGATTTATCATATGAAAATAGCACCCCATTCACAGCTTCGGATTAGTTCTGGGTGCCAGCAATATGGAAGTGAAGCTGAGGCAGCTTACATCTTTATGCAAACTATGAAGGCAGTAGGACTTAGAAAAGAATGATGGGATGGGTTTGGGGTAGGAGTGGGGAGCCTCGGACTATAACCCGCTACTCACTCTCCTCTTATTCAAAGGTCATTTCTTTTAGCTTCACATAACCTCTTCTGGTGGGTCATTTTATAACTAATATCCTTTGTACCTGTAATTTAGCCTCTTTTATCTCTTCTCTTGGTGGCTGTACTAGGTGTGTTTCTTATCCAGCTAGCTTTATCAAAGATACAAAGTTGCTGAAAGGAACTTTGTTTTCCATAACAGCTAGGGAAAGCTTCATCTTTGCTTTCAATATTTAAAAGTGTGCCCGGTTTACTTTATGTACCAGTCTGGGTGCACACTGTGGTTGAGCGGCAAGGGACAGCCCTGCGGCAGGGGGTGGAGGGCGAGGGGTGGCGGGGCCGTGGCTGGGACTGGAGACACAGAGGGAATGGCGGTGGTGGGGAGGGTGGGGCGGCGGTGTGCGCACACTTGCCTCAGAAGGGGTCCACCTCTGACTTAGACCATGAGAGCATTTACATTTACTTGTTTGTATGCTTGGTTTGAGGGAAATTACGGTTTTCCTACGTTTTTGAGATACCCTCTATTAGTCTAGGGCCACAGAGTCAAATGAATCTGAGTTCAGGTTGTAACCCCACCTTGTACCAGCTTATGTGACCAGGTTATTCAAACTCTGAGACTCTTTCTTTATCTGCAGTAAAGTAAGGATAATACTGAAGATAAAAAAAAACCCAAAAAACAAAAAAACCTCTCCGCTCCCTAACCCTCACGCTGATCATAGCGCATCTTCACACTGAAAACCCAGAAGCTGCCAGGGCTGCTGCCGTCTCCGCTCTTGGTTTAGGTGTGAGGGAACAGAGCGGACAGAGACCTTCCCGTGAAAATCAGATTTGCAATCCAGAGGTTGATTTGGTAACTACTAGTAGAGAATCCTGAAGGTGCATGCTAGCACGTTAGGTATTTGAGAAAGGAAAAAGAAGTAGTGAGGAAAACAGAACCATGGATTTTTAAAACTGAAGGAATTGGGAGTCATGGGGGCCAGCTGTCTCATTTTACAGATGGGTACATTGAGTCCCAGAGAGAGTAAGTGGTTTGTCCGAGAGTAAACATCTCATTATTGACAAAGCATATAACCCCGGTCTCCTCACGGTTATATTGTATATTGTTTCACAAATAGGGATTAGGCAGAGGTTCAAGGAATCATTCCTGGACGTCGGATAGATGACCAGATAGCGAGAAGAGTCATCTTACTAAAGCCTGTCTCTGAGCATGGTACTCCCCATCGAATGAAGTAAACGGCATTCAGATCCCTTGGGATCTGCCCCAGTCTACCCCTCCGGCCTTATCTCCTGTTACTTTTTCTACTTTGTCCTTCAAACTGTTCCCCATTTCCTAATTCTCCATTTGTAGACAGTCTGTGGAAATCCTGCTCATGCTCAAAGGCACTGCTCAATGCTGCCCCTTCTGTGAAATCACCACTGCCCCACCAGGGACCCTGCTCTGTCGTCATTGCCATTTGTGTTTGTTATAGAACTTGTCACATTTGATTTTCCTTTAGAGTATTGCTCCTGCATTGCAAGAGGCAGAGGCTAACTTGTCCATTTTTTCTCTCTTCTGCAATACCTCATCTGTAATAGGCACCCATCTAATGTTTGTTGATCCAAATAGGTATTTTTATCTGCACCTTTCCGATTTCTAACCTTATTCCCCAGTTCCTGAATATGCTGGGTGATTGGATGGAAAAGAGATTCAGGAAATGGTCTTCATGCTTCTCTGGCATGGCAAGTATCAAGGAAAGTGTGAAAGCGGGCATAACTACATTCTTCTAGGGGACAGTTTTAAAATTACCCATGCACCAGATTGGAGTAAAAAAGAAGTTCTCTTTCTTCCTTCAGTGGGATGTGCCCATGCGTCTGCAGGTGGGAGTTGAAACCACTTGTGATTTGAGGGTACACCAGCTGGTAATCTGACTCCCATAAAAGCAGACTCTCAAAGGAGGAAGAGGAGGGGAAGGGAGTCCCAGAGTTTCAGATGTCCAGGGATTAGAAAGCTGAACTTGGAGGATGGGAAACGTCCACATGTTTCATGTGTTGAGCTGTGCACAAAAACATTATTTATACTGATGGTTGATGACTGAAATATCTAAAGAGGCAGAGGAGATATATGACCTTACCTTGGGCTTTTAAAGGGGGCTGTTCTCGCTCACTCTGCTTTTTCTACAAAACCTTTCAAACGGCAAAATACTTCTCCCTTCGGCACAGAAAGCAGCCAAGCCAGTCTGACCAGCTTGAGGGAAACACCGAACAAAGCTGCCAACTCCAATCACATGAACACTAGTTACTAATTATCTTCTGGCCTCTGTGGGGAAAGATATAGCAGCTCACTGATTGGATCCTGAGGTTGAAATAACTCCACATCTCTCTGGACTCCAGCTGGAGGAGTAAGAAGAGTGTCTCGAGCGCTTGGGGAGACATTTTCAGAAGGACAGATACAGCCTTAGGCTAACCTGCACCTGTCCACATTTCAGCCCCACCCAGGCCCATGGAAGGAGGAAGTAAAACGCGTGTCTTTATGCACACCGAACATGTGGGAGACCCAAGAAGTTAGAGAAGAAAGAGAAACGGAGAAGAAAGGGCACTGGGGCTCCAGCTGGGAGTATGAAGACCACAGGAGTCTACAGAAGAGGGACCTTACAGGGCTGGATCGACTTTACAGAGAAGGTGGCTTGGATTCCAGACACTGGACCTTGGGGCAGAATCGGCCCTATAGAAAAAGACATTGTGGATACTGGGCTTTTGAGCAGAGTGAGCCAAGCTACTCGGACCATGAGGAAGAGGAAGAAAGTGGAAAGGACTGTATGAACTACAGAACTATGGCTCAGGGTTGTGATGGTTACAAGAACTCAGAAAATGCGGGTTCTAGCCCGGGGACTAAGGATAACCGATTTACAGGCAGCTCAGAAGGCTGGAAAGCTGGAGGGTATGGGGACATGAATGGCCACACGGATGGTCAGAATCTGAATTTTGATCCTGAGGACTCTAAAGAAACTGAATTGTGCACTCGCCACAGTGGTTTGGATGATTCTGTGGGGAATTGTGGTCAACCTGAAAAGTGGCACATGGACTACAGGAATTTTAATTATAATCTTGAGGATTGTAAAGAAGCTAATTTTTATTATAGAAACCGCAACAATTTATGTCAGGTTCCTGGGAATTATACTAATGGTCAGTCTGTGGACTTCCCAGATTTGGATGGAGTCAGTGAAGGTAAAGAATTTTTCAAATACCATGAAGGGGACAGAAAGGTTTGTGAAAATGGTAAAATCTGTCCCAACGCAAAGACTCATGCCCTGGATCAGAGTGACTTTGACACAGAACATAAAGGCTACGATACTCTATTTGCCAACTGTGAGTATAAATTTCAGAATTACAGAGGGACAGATTCTGTCCATCAGATGAAGAATTGGGAGGATAATGGCATTGACAAAGCAGGAACCATGGCGCTTGGGAGCAGGGGCGTCTTCCCAGATAGTCCGCAGAGTCAGTGGATGAGAGGGGGCCGGGGAGAAGATCACTGTGGCATTCTTCAGGGTCCTTCATTAGGGAAGAATACTTGGCAGTTTGAGGAAGACAAAAAAAGAAATGGCCTGGAGACTTGGAAAAGGAATAGTTGCTTCCGCCGCACGGCACCCAGCAGCCTGAGACGCTCAGAATTTGTGCAAAACAGGAAGAAAACTCAAGGTATGAACTCAGTCATCCTTTTGAGAAGGATAAAACCTGAAAATAGATAAAAGGGGTGGTTATACCAGTACTAGGAACACTCATGCATTTAAGGAAACTGACCCTCGAAATTCTTATTTAAGTATGGCTTGAATGAGAACAACCTTAGAGATTTAATCCCTCTGGGAGGCACTTTACAGAGCAAGACCTGTACAGTGCTATAAATATGCACCGTGGCCTCCAGAACGAGACCATGTTCTCATGGGAACTTTCTTTACCATTCTCGGTTTTGTCAGGCGTCTCTCATCCCAAATATCTTTCCATTTGTACTGTAATATTTTGTTTTGTTTTGTTTTATGGGGATGGCAAGTTCATTATTGAGGCACCCAGAGAAAATTTACTTTCCTGGCATGTTCTTTCTCTCAATCCCTACACTTCTTTAGACATTAGGGAGAAGAAGATTTTAACTTGTTTTATAGAGTGTTCATGTCTTGACATTCAGGAATCTTAAGTGAATGGAAATCAGAAGATTATATTCTTCATGGTGCTTTATTCATACACATGATGCTTTGTGTATTCAAATTACTTCATCTCATTTAGCCTTACCTAACTTATCTGTAACATGAGTATTAATTGAGTCTTTTATAATGTAGAGTTTCTTTCGTTCTTTCTTTCTTTGACGTTATTTCTTTCTTGCCAGTTTGTCTTCTCCAGTTCTCTGAAATGAACTATGTTTTATTTTGTTGTTGTTTTATAATTTCTGGACTCCCTGTTAGACCTTTATTTTTATTATGTATATGCTATTCTCCTGCCAAGCCAACTTTCTGGTTTGGGCCAATTTGGGGGAGTGTAGGTGATGACCAGAGGATAGGGGTTAGAGTCAGAAAATGTAAACGATTTAGAAAGTCCATCTCACACCTTCCTCCAAAGTGGAAAGTCTCTCGTCTAGATCTTCAGAATAGGTTCACTGTTGTCGGGGACACAAGTCCCTGGTCTGTGATCCCAGAACGACCAGTGGTTTATCCTGTGGTTTTCCAACACAGGCTTGACTAAACCAGAATTTCCAGGGCATTGTTGCAGATGAATCAGGCTCTCCACCTGCATTTGTAAAGGTAAGAATGAAACCAAACCCGGTTTTAGTTGGGAGACCAGGTATTTAACAGCTAGCCACTTTTTTCTAGGTGCATTTTTTGTTCTAAGATGATAGGGAATGAATGACCTCTAAAGTCCTTCCAGCTCAAAACAACAAGAACAACAACAACACACACACAAGTGATTCTCTGATTCCTTATATTGCTTGTTTTCGTATAGCTCCTATTCCCTTTCCCCACATCTGTTCCTTAGATGAACTTTGTTTCCTATCATTAGTTCCTTATTGTATTAAGCCTCAGAGTGTGTTTACTCTGTCTGACTTAACAAGAGTCAAGCTCCGGAGTGGTGCAATTTGCCCTGTGACCTCTCTAACACCAGCTAAGTCCCACCTTCTGTCATTTCCAGTTTTATAACTCTCTCTCTTTATATTCGAGGACTGAAGTTTTGATGGTGCATTCGTATTTAGCTCAGTTGACACCCCTTTTTTGTACCTCTAGGATCCTCCTTGACCTGTAACAGAATCTTAGTCTGCCCGAAAACCCTTTTGCTTTCTACCATTCTTTGCTGCTGGCTTACTCACACACCACTGCCCTTCCCAAACGTTACAGTTACAGCATGTAATTCCAGAAAGAAGCAAGTGTTGGAGTCTGTCTTCTGACCTGAGTTCACATCTCAGCCCCACCATTTACTATCGTGTAACTTTAGGTGAATTACCTAACCTCTCTGAGCTTTGGATTCCTTATTTATAAAGTGAAGATAATACTACCTGTGTCGGTGAGAGAACATAAATAAAGCACTTAATGACATGTCTGGAACATAGTAGGTGCTCATAAATTATGAGTTCTTTGTCTCTTGGTGATCCACCTCCCTTCCCCCTTATCATTTGCTCCACCAGCCTGTCACTGTGAGGTCCCCTTTCTCCTGAGATCCAGATGGACCCCCCCATGGGACATCTGCCCTCAGACCCTGTCTCTGCAGGTGTGATTATCCAAGGGGAGCACCCCGTCCCTCTTCTCCCACTCTCCCCCGCCTCCCCCTGCTTCTTCTGAGAAACAAAGCACTGTTTAATGGCTGCTCCAGTCTGTCTCTTGAGCTAGAAACCAGGCCCTTCTATCAGGATGTGTCCTTTCCCTCACCTGCCTTATCAGTCCTATGACGGCCTCAGTCTTCAGTGTGGCTAGGGCGGGTCTGTTACAGTTTTGCCTTTAGTCCTAGGGTGCGGCCCCTCTCCTAAGGTATGGCTCTTTTGAGGCTTCAGTGGAAAGCCAGAGTGTTTATTGAACCTCCTAAGTTGGACGGACTCAAATTTCAGGCTGTGTCTTCTCAGCGCCAGACAGTTGTGAATATCTGCCAGGCTCTTGGGCCTCCAGCTGTTATTGCTTTCTGCTGGCTTCCTGGAGTCTCATCACCTGCAGACATAGTTCAAGGATTTGAGGGGAATTTCTGCACAGATTTTGGGCTGCTGTCTCTGTGGCTCCCTCTTTTCCATTTCTCCCATAATATCTAGCCACTTCACAGCCCCAGATGTGAGCCTTTGACTCTTCAGCCCAAGAAAGTTGCCAGTTGTTGACTTCACCATTTTTGCTTTATTTCCCCCACATCCTGGAAGACTAGGGATTGACTTCAGGGGATAAGAATTGGGTAAATATGGATCTTACCTAGTTTGCTTCCCTTGTTTTGAGTCTTATCCCCTCTAGTTTCGGCCTGCTTTTGGTTGCTTTCCAATGCCTTCACATAGTTACTTTGAAAAAAAAAAGCCTTATTCAGAGTTGCTAGTAGTTCTCAGTAGGTAGGTTGGTACAATGTAATCTGCTCTCCCATTGCTAGACCAAAAGTCGGCATGAAGATTTTACGCTTGCTAATAACATAAGTGGTTATGATGGGGAGAGGACCTGGTGCTTCAGATTCCATGTTAACTGAGTTATGTGATATTAGGATATCAGGATGAAGGACTCTTACAGAGAGAAAAAGGCACTGGAATTCAGGTGAGAATCAAGGCTTGGAGGTCCAGGGTTGGAGGGCTGCAGTGGAATCCCGTATCACTACACATCAGCAAGTCCCGTGTTTTATAAATAATGGGTAACCACCCACGACTGGGTCTTATAGTCTATTCGGTGGATTACAACTAGCATTTTTGAAAAATAAAATAGAAGTGAATAGAGAATGTCATAGCACATCTGATGTACTAAAAGTATGTATGTCATACTTCTACACACACGCTCACACACACACACACACATATTATGTGTTATGTGTATGTTGAGTCACAGTATGAAGTGTGGGGGCCACAGTAAAAAAATGTTTGAAAAACACTTAAATCTGACCCACTGTTTTTGTAATCAAAGAGATGGAGCTCAGAGAAATTGAAATGTATGTCCAAAATCAATCCTTAGATCAGGAATTGAATCAAGGTCTCCCGATGCCCAGACCGTCAGGGCTGAAGCCAGAAGCACAGCTCTGAGCTCCTTCCACACCAGTGAACTCAGAGAGCAGAAAAGTACTGTGTTAGGGGTGCCAGGGGAACGACTTCAAATGGAGGGGGCGTAGCTGAGTGACACGCTGCGGCAGAGAAAGGGTGGGGGTGTGGACCAAGGAAAGACCTCGCATTTGGCGGGTGGGGTGAGGAAGAGGAACAACTGAGGCCAAGAGCACATTACAAGGAGTTTAGGAGAGAAGTGGTGATGAAAAGAGAGACGCAGTTCCTTTAAAGTTTGGACAATAATTGCAGTGGACCAACAGAGTCCAGGAAAATCTTGTTTTGTTTTCTCCCAAGATGAGAAAAAGTAGCGAAGACTTGAAGGCACTTTGCCAGTGTTACACACATAGTTTGGGGTTTAGCACTCTATGGGGCAAGGTTTCTTTTCATTCCAAGTGTGTGAACATGATATCTTTGTAGCTACAGTCTGGATTCAAATTATTGGAATAAAATGTCTGCCAGTCAATCCGAGACATGAGCTTTTCATCCTGGCTGATTTCCCTTTTTTTTTTTTAAAGATTTTATTTATTTATTTGACAGAGACACAGCGAGAGAGGGAACACAAGCAGGGAGAGTGGGAGAGGGAGAAGCAGGCTTCCCGCCGAGCAGGGAGCCCGATGCGGGGCTCGATCCCAGGACCCTGGGATCATGACCTGAGCTGAAGGCAGGCCTAACGACTGAGCCACCCAGGCGCCCCATCCTGGCTGATTTCATATGCTGATGGCAAGGCGTGAGTGTGGCACATGCCGTGAGGCCTCTGCCACTCTAGAGACAAGGGGACGTACCCATCGGAGTCACAAATGGCCAGCAAAACAGACGGTGGAGTTTCACGCTCAGTAATACAGGTAGTGGCGGTAGGACCACTCTAATTCACCTGCTTGACTGTTCCCAGAGCACTTTGTGCAGCTTCCTCTAATTTCATAATGTTACTATAAGCAAGAGCCACTCATCTATTTTTAGCTCACAGAAGTGTGTTGAGTTCCAAACGCTGTTTACATTCTGGTTAGACCGCGATTACCTGGAGATCCTGAGGAGGGATGGAGCTCCTGCTCCCATACCAGTGGGCTGGAGCCAGATGTCCTCGGGACCAGCCGTTCCCTTTCCCTCCCTCTCTCCCTCTCTCTCTCTCTCTCTCTCTCTCTCTCTCGACATTTTTGCATTTCCCTGAACTTCTGCTTGGTCTCCTCTTGCTGCAGACCCACACTTCCCGTTTACTCATAGTTTCTACTCCCTCTTCACTTTAGATTACACATAACCAGACTCGTCCTACCACTGCCTTGGAGCATTATTACAGCTTCTATTCCTGTCTGATCTGCCTGATATCCTAATTCAGATTCCCGGGAGAGTGAGTGTAAATGACTCAGCTGGTGTTTTTTAGTTAGTCCTCATCATATGAACTAACCATTCATTGATTAGGTACAAATCCGTGGTCCAAAATGGTGACGTGAAGTCC